GATTATACAGTAGAACCTCGAAAACTTGGTTCTTGATAACCCAGCACTCCCGATAACCCGGCCACACCCTGGCAGGGCAAAAATACCCTTAGATAGTTAATTTTCATAATAGACAGCTTTATGCCTCATAAAGTATTTTTCTCTGGTCTGTCTTATCAGGTGAATTACCATACACAGTGTATTCATTAATTTTCATTTTCATGTAGTAAAGGCTTTATGCCTTCATAAAGTATGTACTTTTCCTTTGTTTAAGGGTATTTGGGCAGTTTATTCTCTGTTGTATTCTCAAGCAAACAATACATACAAGTACAGTACAGTATTTTCTGAGGAAACACGCATACTTATCCTTTTTTAACCCAACATTTTCACAAACTCGGCCACCCTTCGGTCCACATTAGGCCGAGTTTTTGAGACTCTACTGTATAAGAAAATTACCTATTTTTACGCAAGTATTAATATTATGTTTTAGTTAACAGAAATTTAATATTTAACATAAGTGTAAATTACTTACTACGAAGAGATCTGGAGAGGTCAGCATAATTAACTGCATTAAGCGTAATTTCCCTTAAAGCTTTCCGTTTTTCATTAGATGGAATGTGCCTTTTTACGTAGTCCTTAAACTCGTTAAAATGCTTTTGGCTCATTCTTTTGCTTTTGGGCGAAGAAGAAAATAAAAACGGCACATAATCTGGATGATACGGTTGAGAGACAGGTCTCCCTAATAATTTAAAAATAAATAACAAAAAAAAGAATTAACAACTTATAGAAGTTCACAATTCAAAAATAAGAAAGTGTTCCGACATAATATTCAAATCACAAAATTTAAAATCGTTAACACATTTATCTACAACTAGATAACATAAAAACAAAATATGTCACCAGAACATCTCTCGTTTTAATGTAAAGATTTTAAATGCATAAAGCAATTGTTTAAACACAAGAAATGTTTATAAAAGAAAACTTTTTTGTATATTTGAGAAGCAAGACTCAAAATAACAGTTTAGTTTATTAAAATACTAGATGAGTCTGGCGTTGCTCGGACAGAAAGTAACGATAGCAAAGATTAAGATTATAGCCAATCTTACCCATTTTCACCGAGCGCAAGAATTAGGTCCCCCCTCTTCCGAGACTAATTAGAGAAGTTTTAGAATCATGCCTAACTAATGTGATTTATCCAAATAGACCTAGGTGAACACATAGGTGCGAGGACAATGGATCTGGGAATGACAACGATCCCTTACACACAACAGATCTTGGGGTGTGTTTACTTCTGAGTTAGCAGTGCTAATTCTGATAACCGGATGTGACGTCATTAGCACGTGTATTCGTGCTTACTTGTCCAATTCAAAAGTGAACACATACGCTAACAAGAAATATAGGGGTTTCCAGCCATATTTCTTGTTAGCGTATGTGTTCACTTTCGAATTGGACAAGCAAGCATGAATACACGTGCTAATGACGTCACATCCGGTTATCAGAATTAGCACTGCTAACTCAGAAGTAAACGCACCCTTGGAGTGTGCTGACTCAAAGTAACGACGACCAAGAAATAGGCCATTCGAATACTCGTTATCAACCCACCCATAACTATAATCACTGGTGTAGAAAAATAGACCGGTTAATGTCCAGATACGTGGACTGTCATGGCAGCATTTCCTGTTTTCCGACTGCCAGCCTCGACACCGGAGCGGTTTAGAGACGATATGTCACGTCATGACGCGAGCGAACGGCAGCGGCTGCTGCGCCGCGGCAGCGTCGGCGGCTGTCATGGCGCCCCATCGCTGATTCCAGCAAACAAAAGGAAACAGTGGGAACGCACGTTCTAACCTAACCTATTCAAATAATTTGGTTGGTAATAATTATGGTAATTTATTACAATAGGTTAGGTTAAGTTAGAACGTGCGTCTCCACTGTTTCCTTTCTTTTGTTTGCTGGAATCAGAGATGAGTCGCCATGACGGTATACGGATCTGGAATTTAATCCAGAAGAGTTTACAATTTCCGCTTACAACAATTATAACAAAAAGGGGTTTCCGCTCCCTCATCCGGAATCTTATGTTAACTCTACTTGATGTTGAGGAATTAAAACTTACGAAATTACCTGTAAGAGAATGTTTTCTACACGCACACGTGAATTTTCTGGGTATTAGCCACTTCCAATCTTCTTCGTTGATTCTTTTCATGCCATTAACCCATGTATTTGGCCTTCCTTCTTTAACAGGAAACACCTGAACAGTCCCTTGTTTATTTTTCATCATATTCCGATTACGACAATTCACTACGCAACTTTTCGGTATTTCTTTCCCAAACAATGCGATCGCCGACCACGTGTATCACACTCACGTGTAACTTCTGTCAAAGAACACACACTGACAGTTCCACTGTGTATCGCTTAAAGTGTTGCCAGATGTTTTTTGCTCTTGTAGCCAAATAATTTTTAAAAAGTAGCCCAAAAGTATCCAACTGCTCGAGTAGTCGGCTACTTTTGTACGATGTGTTGTTTTACCTAGTACTTTTGTACTAATCTAGTACCTTTTTACTTGTCCCAGCACCAAGACACCCAACACCATTTTCCTAGTACCATTCAAGAAATCCTAATACCTTTCCTTTCAAAACATTCATTTTTATTCTATATTTCTGTATTTTTTACTTTACTTTGACAGTAAATAGATGTTTTTATTGCTTCCTCATTTAAATGCAGCAGTTGAACGTATTTTTTTGCAATTAAATTTAATGAAAACTAAACTACAAAATCGAGTTCTTACAGCGATAAATGTTAAACTTGGAAATCATCATCTGCTTCAACCATACAAAAACATTCTAGTGAAAAAGATTCTGATGATGATGATCTTACCAGTGATTTTTCAACGTGATAATTTCAAATTTTAGTACTTCATGTTCATTTTGCTCATTTGATTGTTGTTGAGGAATAATAGCATTCTTGTAATATATGAATTTTGTATGTTACATGTAACACTATATAAGACATTTACAAGAAGCTGACATTGGCAAACAGTTGCAATTAGCGTAACGTTATTTGTTACTAATTTTATCAAAAACAATTAAAATTTATAAAAATTACGCCCTAGTAACCATGTTTGGTACCATTCCGTATAGCATAGCATTTACCATTAGTCATTTTTGTTTATAGATGCATTTTCTTTTCTTATTTCTTTCTTTCTAGGATATCATTTATCTGGAATTTATATTAAATTTTCTTTAAAAAATAAGCTATTATAAACTAAAAAGTCTCCTGTCAAGCATGACTGAATACTTACTGGAGCTATCTTTTTAAAAAGTTTAAATTTAATTAAGTAAATTTAAAATTACGCCATTTGCCAAAATATTTAAAAATGCAACTTAATGAGGAAAATTTCCCCAAAGTATTCTCGGTCCTTTCGGAAAGAATGGCTTCAAGAAAAAAATCTTAAAGGTGCTTACCTTTAAGATTTTATCTTGAAGCCATTCTTTCCGAAAAAACCGAGAATACTTTGTCCATTTTCCCATTTTAATACCAATAATAAATAAATTATAAAACTTAAATAAATTACACTATGTTTAAAAACAAAACGAGTAGACAGCACAACAAGTATTCCAAAGGATGAAATAATTTGTGTAACCAGCCCAAAATGTAGCCAAGTCAAATTTTTGTAGCTTAAAAAGTAGACAGTGCGCCAAATGTTTTTTTTAACGCCAAACTGAAAAATAAGTTGCCCAATTTGGCGCAAAGTAACCAAATCTGGAAACGCTGGTCTGACTCGCTTTTCGCCGATAGGCGGAGCTTACGTGACACTTGTCAGTTTATGGAGTACAGTCATTTGAAAGGTTTTCTTCGATAAAATTACTCGATTCTAGATTAAATTAATTTGACTGCAATATTTCTAAACACGTATAATTTTTCGGGAATGATACATATTAAATACGGTAAAAACAAAAAATTGTAGGAATACATACCGAATGTGCACCGTTCGAAGACGTCGTTGCTTAAGCTGGTTTTTCGTCGCGGAACGGCACATTAGACGGCGGGCGCGTACGAAGCGTGTCACGTGACATTTCTTGGGGCATTGAATTAACATCACCTAGCTTTTATGACTAATACCTTTTTAAAAAATTAAATTATTACTTAAATCATCGTCAAAAATTAAAACTATGTTTAAATATCGTCTAGTGTAATTTCACTAGACGATATTTAAACATAGTTTTAATTTCACTAGAAATTTATTTTTTTTTGCTGAGTACCATTGGGTTCAATGTCTAGTCACTCTAGTGTAATTATAATTGGCAAATAAAATTAAAATCCTTTATAATCCAGCACTACTTTTACTTTCCCGGCTCAGATATACGTATAAAAGTGTGTGACAGAGGGGTGCCGATGGCCTCGGCCATCGGCTCTAGGGAATCCGAGTTCGAACCAGACGGGTCGAAAATTCCCAGGTATTTTTCGGGGGTGGTCCGTTCGAATATGTCCCGTACCAATCAGCATGTCAAGCACGCTCATGTATAACAACACGGCATACTGTGTGCATCATAAGTTTTGAGATATGAGGTTGAAGCCGAAGTTTTAAACGCGTAAACATGTATGTCGGACGTTCAGCACCGCTTTCCTGTAAGCCTAGAAATTTGACAATGGTGTTTGGAAAGTCAGTGGAATCATGCTCGACATTCCAAACACCACTGTCAAACTTCTAGGCTTACAGGAAAGCGGTGCTGAACGTCCGACGCACACGTTTTTGCGTTTAAAACTTCGGCTTCAACCTCGCTATTTTAAGGTAGCCGTGACAGTGTTGCAGTGCCATTTATAGCCCTAGCGGAAATTTTGAAACTAATTTTTTGTTTCCAATTCCAAGACTTCAGTTGTAGTGTTGTGAAGTATAAAATCATTCTGCTGAGTAGGTCCCAAGGTTATATCTTTTTGAAATGTGAACTTTATAAATACCCTATACCTTAAGCACCTTTTGAAAAGAAAAGGATACAAGGAACTTTTGACTTATCCTGCATGGTTTTAATATTTAAACATAAATCTTTGCACAAGTCCAGATTAATATATCCAGACCTTGATAACATTTAATAAAATTTATTATTATTGTTACAATAGTGATATAAAAGTAAAATTTGGTTAACCAGATCAAATACAAGACTTAGCTACAGTAATATTGAAATTCCTGGCAATGTTATGCAAATCTCTTCTTTTCAAGAGACGAAGTCGCTGCAGCCCTTTGTCATCTATGCCTGAATTTCGAATTTCATCCAATATATTTTGAAATGAAACTCCATCTTTAAGCTTACCTGCAATTATTATGAATATGAAATCAATATGCAAATTATTCTAAGCTTGTAAAATAACTTAAAAAAGCAAAATACATACGTGCAATTTCCATTCTTGTTTCCTTACTCAAATAAATGCGTTCTATATCTATAGAATGGCCAACATGTGTTTTCCAAAATTTGACCGTGATGCCGTCCTGATTTTCCAGTACTTCCATTCTGGAAGGGCACGCTTTTCCAATTTTATTTGATCCCAAACTCTTCAAGGACCTAATATTTTTCCCAAATTTCCTGTAGTGATGCGAACGATGGCAATTATAAAATTTCTTTTGTGTACCATCAGAAAGTGTGTTCATAGATGTATGCAAGACATATGATGATAAACTCCTTGATTCAGTGTTGCGCTTCCAGGTTTCAAACTCTATCAGAAAAATGATTTATTTATAAGTAAAAGAATCTCAATTATTAAATTTACAACATGCCATACCATTTTTAGAATTAAATTCTATTTCTTCTAGCAGCAGTTCAATGTTATGAACATTGGTCAGATGTTCTCGAAGCAAATAATTATGGTAAAATTTTTGAGAACAATTCTCTATGGGGCATATCAGCCGTCGCTTATATTCTCTCTTAATTTTTGTACTGTTAGCTCTGTGAATATTTTCAATGTGGCGTCGAAGAGTCAGTTTGTTAGCAAAGGTTTTGTCACACGACGAACAAACTTCATTTCCTTTTATTTTCTTAATTGCCGGATCCCTGTCGTCTATAAATTTATGTATTTTTCTCTGATGGGCATATAAATTTTTCTTTAAAGTAAATTGTTTGTTGCATTCTGAACAAACAACAGCTTGCTTTTTGTCTTGTGATTTTGCAGTAGAAATTGTCACCATTTTATTTATCTGCATACAAAATAACATCACAGTAAATGAATAAATAAAATATTGACTCCTACATTTAGTAATATTTGTAGTAATAAATCTGGTGGATTTACTAAACAAATTTTAAATTACTAAAATAAACTAGTTGATAAAAACTTACATTGTGCAGAAAATAAAGTGCATTGCAGTTTTTCTAAAATTAAATAAAATACCATAGAATATTAAACAACTAAGTGAAATAAGTAATGATCAAGAAACATCTCTCACCCATGGAGGAAATAACTCTTTCCTCCATGGGTGAGAGGTGTTTCTTGATCATTGAGCTGATATTGCATTGTTCTTAATGGATTCAAATGAAATAAAGGATGGAATCTATTCTGCCGTCTTGTTGCACCCGAAACTCTGAGAATGAAGTTTTAAGTCAGTTTTTATAGAAAACATGCTGAGTCGTGTCAACATCGTTGTACTAATTGAAGTGAAAATAGAACTTATCATATAATCCTTTCATAAGTTTAATTGAAAGTTTGTATAATTTATGTTTAAACATAACAAACAATTTACCTTATCCTATACCTCTTGATAGAAATATGTCATATAAGTAGAATATTTAATGTGGTATGGATGACATAACCATGCGACATAGTTAAATAGGTTATATTTGTAAATTGACCAATCAATTTACTGTAAAATTTCAGTATTCTCTGCTAATTCCTATGTTAAATTTAACATTTGATGATGTATTAGTAAAAATGTATTTAAATACGAAAACTGGGAAATACTCATATTTTATTATATATAATCGAAAGATACCAAATTATTCAATGATAAGCCATAAGAATTTAATATTTATTTTTATAATGTTTCTTCTGAAAAACAGTTATTGGTGAATTTAAACCTTATTAAATGTACTTCATTCTTAATCAAGCATTATCATGATGACAAGATAGTGATTTTACAATCAAGTCAAGATTAGTTATACCCATGATTAAATCATTCAATACCAAATTATTTTTATTGAAAATAATGTGGAGTAAAGTAATTATAAATAAAAATTGGCTGATGTATTTACATTAAAATATAACAATTAAATATATCCTTTTATTTTTATGTATCCAGAGGATGATTTTATCCAGTTTGCAAAAATGAAGCCTGAAATAAAAGCTTATCCCCTAAATGAAAACTGTTTTTGGATTTTCACTAGTGATTGTAAACAACGGAAGATGGAGACAATTTTGTATCTTCGATATATTTATGAAAAATACAAAATTATCTCCAAGTCAACCCCCCTATAACACTGTTGATTATTCCGCTTTATACGAATTCCATGTTGTACGAGTCACTTAGATTTTACAAATACGTGAGCCGTTCACAAACTGGCATGCGTATTTGTAAAATTTAAGTGACTCGTACAACATGGAATTCATATAAAACGGAATAATCAACAGTGTTATAGGGGGGTCGACTGGTATTTATAATTTATTTATACATAATTACAATATAAAAAATAAATATTAAGTATTTATAGCATGCCTGTCAATCATGTGTTGTAACAGTGAGGGATGTGGTCTGAAATGAGGAACAAATTTCATGCTCTGAGGGACATAATTCATATGTTTAAAAAAAAAATTCTCTTTGAAAACCATAGTAGGGCATTTTTGCTTTAAAAAAGTTCTAGAACATGAATGCTTTCATTTTTTAGAAATTAAGAAAGTATAAGTTCTATGTTTCAAGCTATCCTTGCTACACTTTACTGACCTTATTGTTTTTCTCCTCTCTATGTGAAGTGGTTTATGCTATTGTTGCTTGGCTATGAGTCATGCAAGTGGCAGACATCAACTAGATAGCTACTACTATTTCCCAGTGCAGGATGTAGCTTTCTTCCTTTGTCTTGCTGTGCTTGGTACTCTTGCAGACACTTTAAGGGGTAATGTATCATCTATCCTCCTATGTACTAAATGAATGTATATTCACACAGAATAAACTAAGAAATGAAGATCACAGACCTATCAAAGGGCAGAGGGTACACAGTAAAATAGATTAGAGTTAAAAGTACTGACAATGTCAACTTACGAAGACTATTACACATAAAACCCTATATACTGTACCTAGGACCTGTAGACAGCTATGAATTAACATGACCTAGAGTTAACGCAGTTCAACTTAGTGCTGTTTCACTGTATAAAATTTATTGTAGAATGCAGTTGAGAACTTTTCAAACAAACCTATTTTCCAGCTATAGGCAAGGATTTCAGTCTAATTATAAGCAGAAAATTTTCTTAAATGGGAACATTTTATATAAGAAAAATTTACATATCTCTTATAGGAGAAACTAACAAGTTCTAATACATTAGGAACTTCTAATGTATTAAAATGTTCTTGCAAAATAATAAAAATTTAAGATAAAGTATTTAGTAGTAAAACTTTTTATTTAAATCCTTAGCAATTAGGCAAACTTCGTACATTTTTCTTTCGTACATTTTCAATTCAAAGAAATTATTTGTTAAAGTTTCTTTTTTTAAATGTACCACAAAAATACAGCAAAATGCTTAACTAATTTCTTATTTAATAATATAATATTAGATAAAATGGTGAAACCATACATCTCGCATGTAGTTGAAATATACACAAAATGAATGTAAATGCAAATATATTTGATTTATACATTCCGTCTATAAAAACCATTTAAGACGTATTTTAATCATTTTGAGTATTTTCAAAATTTTAAAAATCAATTTCTAAAAGAATTTTTCTGCCAAAATAAAAGCTGTTATTAATAACTAAATATTCATATCATCGTTATCGATCATCGACTCATATTTTTGTCTTAAATTCTCAATATCAGAACTATCGAAGCATTTGCCCGTCTCGTCCCAGATGTGCTGCTTCCAATCTCTAGTGGAAACATCACACTTCATGAGATCCTTACATTTGATTTGTTCGTAACGATGTAACAAACGTAATTTCGGATATAAACTAAAATACTCTGGTCCGCAGGGATGATTTTTATGTTGTGACATAACAGCACTTATTCGGTACATAAGAACCGGTTTGCGAATTAACGATACCGACACTTTAACAGGGCACTCACAACCTAAAAATTTCTGGTTTCTTCGTAGGTTTCTGCTTCGACGGCGAGCTTTGCCACAATGAATGCATGTGTATACTATGTAGGAGTAGGGATAGTCGGTGTTTCCATCGTGTGTCTTAACCGAATTTTGAGTTCTCATTGGATGATAGTATTTCTTACACCAATTTTTAAATGCATTAGAAAATGTAAAAAATGTTGAAAAAGTACTTCCGACTACAATTTCGTCTGGCGAGTCCATTTCTTGAGTAACCTGAAAATTTAAAAGAAATTTTTGTTATAATGAAGTAGTTTATGTCATCTTTAATATAAATGTAAAGCTGTGTTCAGACCAGCACTTAAGCCGCGTAAGAATCAAGTGTGAGAGCCGTTCTCAAATGCAAAAATATTTTTGGTAAAGATGTTCGTGAGCAGCTCCTGAACCATTAGCAAACTTCTAATTTCAGTCTACATGTGACTTTATGTTACATCATGTTGAGGCTGCATCTCTTCATTCTGTTACATAATATGCCTGTATGAATACTTGCACATACAGTTAGCCAATCGAGTTTTATAATCCTTTTCTCTAGGACTGTAGGAAATGGGATCTTTTTCTATTTGAATAATTAGGTTTTTATCTTTCAAAATGCTTTCCTTCATTTTTTCTTCCTGTCATTCGTGTTAGTCTTGGCTAATGAGTGAGTGAGTCAATACAATGAACCATGAATCAGTTGTGGTATTTCAGTCGATTATCTGTATTTGACGTTCTTGAAACATCAACTCAGTGTTTGTGTGCTGCTCTCACAGACTGAAACTTCATATTAATAAGTTTCTTGTAAACTGTTGCATCTTATATTATCATATAGAGTCATGATTGAATTTTTACTCAAAAATAGAACATTGTTTAGCCATCCTTATAATTTTAAATATTTTAATTTCATATTTAATATGCTCATTTACTCATCTTCAAGTATTTATGAATTTTTCATTCAGTTTAAGTTATGAATCTGAAAACAGCAACACAGACAGAATGTTTATAATATCATATAGAGAGCTGCGAGTTTTGTTGTATCAAATCAGTCAGGCATTACACCCATTGGTTAAGTTTTAACTTGTTGTATGTGAATAGGGACGTCCTGATACCAATACCTTATTGTTACTTTCCTTCGATACCAAGTACTTTTTGTACTTAATACTTTTGATCTGATACCAATATTGATACTTTTCCTTGGGTATCATTACATTTTTCACAGACAGGTAGGATCCAATTGAAATTAGATTTTGCAGCTTAATCCAAAACCAAAACAAACCTTATACTATTTTTGGTTCAAGTAAAACTTATATAGTAAATATTAATGACCAAATATCAATACATTTATTACAATAATTTCATTTTCAGAATCTATAGCTTAGAGTTCAGATTATTATTTATAAATAACTTGCTAAATATTTGAAAAACTTGAAAATATATTAAAATCTCAAATCAACTGATACAGTATTGGTAATACTTACTTTATATTAGAAATGAGTTTTAATAATTTGTTAATAATAAATTACATACTTTATTCTAGTTAGTTGTGTTAAAATTAAAAGTTTCAATTACACAAAATGTTCAAAATCAAGCCACAGACTGAACAGCAACAGCCAGCAAGATTTCCAGTTTTGATACCCAATGCCAATACTGGTTGGTATCAATACTTTAAGATCAATAACAATACTGATACTGGTATTGGTACTTTAAAACTACACATGATACCAGTATTGACACTTTAGTGTATCAGGATCCCTATTTGTGAATATGGTTTTGTCAACAAATCATGTATCAAAACAGCGAGTCAACTCACTTTATTAAGTGAACTGACTTTCATGATTTATTTGAGTGTGTTAAAACATTCAACACACTCAAATGAATTGTTTTGCACAACAGTAGTTCCTGTGCACACACAGAATTATGAAA